AATCTAGGACTAGTGATTACGTGTATGTTTGGATGCACTTTTGTAATGGACTTTTGACTATAAAAGTCCATTTACTATATAAAAAGATGTTTGGTGCAAATAACAAAATAGACTTTTAAAAAAGTAACTCCCATAAAAAGTCATTTCAAAGAAGTTTACATTGAAAACTTATTGAGAAGTCAATTTTCAAAAAGTCCATCTTAAAATGGACATCTTATCAAATTCCCTCCATTGCTGTTTTTATTTATATTTAAATTATCTGATCTTTTTTTTTCCTTTTTACATTTTTGTAAGGATAATGTATGATGAATATGGCTACCAAAGGACAGGAAAAAAATGCAGGGAGAAATTCGAAAACCTATACAAATACTACAAAAAGACGAAAGGCGGAAAATCCGGCCGGCCGGACGGCAAACACTACCGTTTTTTCCGGCAGCTCGAGGCCCTTTACGGCGAAAACAACAACAACAACAATAACAATAACAACAACTCATCTGCTTCGGTTTCGGACCAAACCACTTTCGCCGGCCCTAATTTCCCTTACAACATTTTCCCCGAGAACAACACAAACTCGTTCATCCCAAACGAATCTCACGCCATTAGCATCTCGAACAATTCTTCCGATTTCGACACGATAATCACGTCGGACGACGAAAGCGCGGAGCCCAATAGGTCGAAAAAGATTATGATGATGAAAAGCTTCAAGGCGAAGATCAAAGACTCGGTCGACACCCAAATGAAGAAAATGGTTGAGAAGCAAGAGGCGTGGATGGAGAAATTGATGCGAAGAATCGAGGAGAATGAAAAAGAACGTAACTTGAGAGAGGAGCAATGGAGGAAAGAAGATGCCGAGAGGGTCGAGAGGGAGCAACGGATATGGGCCCGCGAGAAAGCTTGGATCTTGGACCGTGACGCGGCCCTAATCGAAGCTTTCGGGAAAATGGCGGGAAAAGCCCGCCAAGAGGATTGGGAAAGTGGTAATGTCGCGTCGTCGACGTGGGATTGCATTGGGGATTGTTTTGTGAAGTGTGGTAAGAAAAGAATGGGCCCGTTTCATGTTGGGCCCATCGTTGGGGGACAAGGGCCCGATCGCGGCATAAACATGGCCCGTGAGAATGTGTCGAACGAAGGGTGTTTTAGGTACTTTAGTGGAGACGTAAAATATTGAAGTGTCGGGGGTCGGGTGGGGGTTCGGGTGATTATTAATTATGATGGTTGGATTGATTAGGTTTGATCGTGTACGGTGTTTGTGATTGATTTTCGGGATAATATAAAAACGCGCATGCGTTTTTGACTAAATGTGTGTGGATGTAGAAAGGGATGACCGTTTGTAATAACTTGTTAGCGAGTGTTGTGAAAAAAGAAAGTCGGGCAAGCGAAGAATTGTGATAGCGCCTAATTTTGATGGTCTATTTTCGAACGCTCGATCGGTCGTTTGTGCGCGCACAATAACGTGTAAAACCCTATGGTAATGTAATGTTGCTAATTATTCTTTAAGAAATAAATTTGTATGTGGATTTTTTTTAATCTTTTTTTTTTTTAGCTTCA